CGTGACACTTATCGTTAAGCTTTGTCGTATTTGTTCAGTCTATGTTTCTGATTTGGTGAGTTGAGGTTTTACTTTGAATTTTTGTGCTTACGCACCGCGGTCATTACACAAACATACATGTCTGCGTAGATGAGTAAAAAGGCTCAACCGGATGCGGTTTACCAGGCAGTGTTTAACATGCTGGATGAGGCGATTTTGCCAGCTTTGAATATGGTGTCTGCAAATTGCTGTCTTGCTGAGGAGATATGGAAGCTTATTCGTTATTTGCCTTATGAACACAGGCAGGTGTTTACTCCATCCTTAGTTGGTATCAGTTTGTATTGCATTCTATGATCTGCGAAGCCGTTGTTTTCTACAATGCGCCCACTTGCTTAGTGTTTTTTGCCTAACCTGAGCTAAATTGACATTTTTGTGTCGATGCGTACTTTTGACACCCATATTTAGGTACCGGCTGTACGGTCAATGGAAGCATATGAGTAGCCAAGGTGAGCCAATGCTTCTACGGAAACGCACTGCTATTCTCATTCGAACGAAGGCACTAATGAAGTAAGCTAAATATTTTTAACTGCTAGCAGGAAGCACATCCATCGACTTCTTTTCTCAAAATAGTTTAGTCAGTCTTAGTTTGTAGACCTTTAGGCTCTTGATGCTTTCTTGTTCTTTTCCAATGACATTAGTCTTCAATGCTACTACACTTGAATGCGCTGAATATCTACTTTGTAAAGCATAAGCAATGTTGATTTTGGAGGAATTATCATCGTGTCTATTGTTATAGGCGTCTGAGCAAAGAGAATGTCAAGCAGCTGGGACGCCATCTTGGTAAACTATCACATAGCAATCCCGGTCTGCTATTTGACTTTGTAAGCTTACTCCGATGTTCATTTACACGTACTCAACCGAGGCCCCTATATTTTCGTTTGCTTCATTTTAGATGCTGCACAATATACAGATGTTCACCAATCTCATTACCCCAGTTGTTGATTCGTTGAAGTATGTGAGCAATCTCGGTTATGATGTCCTTGCATGTGAGTTCATTCATTCAACTAAACTCTTCACCGCTCCGGTAAATAGTCTTGAACTCTCCATTTACTTCCGCTTATCTTTCTAGTTTGTCTTATCGAGGCGCTAGCGTCGGACAAAAATAAGACAGATTCATTGGAAATGGGAAGCAATTTACATGGTTAGGTTCCTTTTACTAATCATAAGGTTTCTTATAGCTCTTGCTACCTTCACTGGAGCGTTGTGTAAGAAATACCAATTTGATTTGGCGGGTATTCTCCAATACGTTTTGAATCAACTTAAAGCTGGGAGAAGGTGAGTTTAAGAACGCTGGTGTTGCACATTCGAAAGTATCTGGAAGGAATGTTTGGTTGCGTTAAAAGCAACCTCTGGGCCTTTTTAGCTCGATTACTTGAACTGATTGGCTTGATTTTTGGGCTGTGTTCGAGTTCAGGAATTCTGCACACTTATGTACGAGCACATCTCATACGTTTCCTTGATAACACTTAGCATAGATGTAATATTGATGTCACTGTCAAACTACCACCAACTTAATGATAAAAAAGGCTTTGTTTTCGTTTTTGCGTTCCTATTAGTGAGGATCTACTGATTCTACAGGAGATCATCCACCAGATGGCGGGTTTGGATCCCTACGAAGAGATGACCAACGAGCAGCTGGAAGCAGCTTCTGGTGGAGAGATTCTCCTCCAAGAAGGCGGCTACTATGCCCAAATTCGAAATGCGCGTCGCAATGCTAGTCGATTGAAAGAGGCCCTTATCGAGAATAAAGTCATAATGCCGCTAGTCTTTCTGATGGCGCAACAGAGGGATGCTATTCTCTACCTAGACGATCCAGAACGACATGTGAAAACCGCTGGGCGTCTCTACGATCAGGTAGGCGCATTGGATCTGCAATCCGGTGCGAAATATGTTAGCAAGGCCGGCGGCTAACATGGTATTGGCATTTTCAGTGTCAAGGAACGTTAGTTCAGTTCATTACCTTTCTCAGTCTTCAACTCACGAGGGAAGAGATGCAGGCGCAATGTTTCTCCATTGATCAAATGATGAGTGAGTATTCTGTCCCTGCGGACACGGCCTTCTGCCTATTTCGAAGCCTCTTCCTCCAGAAAGTTGCAGTATGTTCTCCTTTATTCTCCTCGGTTTTCAATAACCCTGATTAAGCTGTCACTTTTTCAAACCCTTTCAGCACTTGTTTGAGGCGTCGGTAGAGAAGTCAGACGACGACGACAAAGGTGTATCGGCAAATAAGGTGAGGTTGTCGGCCTTGTATTTGCAATTATTTGCTTTTTAAATAATTTAACCATGCAAAAGTTAAATCAATTTCGAGACTAGGTTGGGGGTCATAGGTGTTTATCGTGGAGACAAGGCGGGCTATTATGGGTGTAGCCAGTAGTGCTTTACGGCTGGGTTTCCTGCTTTAGGCTGCTTATGTTAAGGCGGCACGCACTGTCATTGCTGATGTGGCTCGCTCCATCGAGCCGCTCTATCCGCCTCGCGTTTGGGAAGAATTGGGTACGGCGTTCTTTGCCACCTTTTGGTGTCTTGAGTCGGGCGACCTCGTTTTTCCCAGCGCCGCCTACCAGAGGCAGCGTCACATCTTGCGTAGTCAGCTCGATGCGATCGAGCAGAACTCTGACCTGGTGAGCACTCCTTCATCAATTACGCATCTGAGGCACTACCGTTCCCTACATTCCTCTGCGTTTAACTAGAATTCAGATAAGAAGCGACGCGAGAAGGAACGTTGTCAGACGCTGATAAATCGTCTGTCGAAGGAGCAGGACGCACGTAGGGTGCACGTTGACCGCATTCGCGCCTGGTTGTTGTCGGAGCGAGACACCTGGTTCCAAACAATGTCGGCCACCAAGACAGACACAATAACTCAGTTTCTGCAGTTTTGCGTCTATCCACGTGTGTTCTACACCGCCAGCGATGCTGTCTACGCTGCCCAATTCATCCATGTGCTCCACCAGCTGAAGGCTGCACAATTCTCCACCCTAATTTGTCTCGATAGGGTAGGCATAACTCCTGTTTTCAGTTTGTGTTTTGTTTCGGATGTTTGTAAATTCATTTGTGATCACGCCTTTTTGCAAAAGAGGAGTAGTTAGGTCATTGGCTCGGTGATTAGTATATTTGGCAGCTAAACATCCTCTCCATTTGTGCTCAGATTTTCAACGATATAACGTTGCCAGTAAGCATATGCACGGAGAAGGAGGCGCATCGCTACGGTCGATTTCTCTGCAAGGTCTTCGAGTTTGTTATGCGGTGGCACTCTTCAGAGGAAATATTCAACCAAGAATGTGGTCAATATCCAGGCTTCGTAACTGTTTTTCGCAAGGTGAGTTCCTTCTTTGTTGAGTCGGTCCTGTTCGCCAATGTTTAACTGATATTATTATCGGCTACGTTGAAGTGGAAGATTGCCTCTAATCTCTTTTTGTGATGGCGGTTGTAGGGCACGAATGCGAACACAAAGGCGGACCAATTGCAATTCGAGAACTACCGGCACGTAGTACATAAATGGCACTACCGAGTGACTAAGGCGGCAGTTGCGTGTCTGGAGTCGGGCAACTACGCGCAAATTCGCAATGCTCTCATTGTGCTTACACGCATCTTACCACACTACCCTAAAATTGGTCAATTCGGTAGTGCTGTGGAACGAAGGGTCAACAAACTCAAGGAGGAGGAGAAGGATAGGCGACCGGACCTGAAGGCAAGCTCTTCTTCCTCTTACTTCCTTCTTGAGACAGTCGCGTCGTAACTGAAGCCGTCGCAAGCCCTATTATTAGTGTACAAAAACAACTGGGAATGTAGGAATAGATATTTTTTATAACAAACATGTCGCTCTTGTTAGATCAACTCTTTTTGATGGAGTTGATTTCGTTACCGTCGTTAATGTTTTGATACACAAGTCGTCTTTTGTAGGTAATGGCTTTCAGTTACGCGGGTGTACTACGCCCCTTGAAAGCCAACTGGGTTTCAGAAGAAGAGTTTCATGAGGTGGAGCAGAAGCCTACAACGAAAGTTCAGTCGTCCTCTCAGCACAGCCAGCTGTCGACCCTCCCACAGGCCTGTAACTCAACAGCAACAGTGGAGGCATCTACCACCACGCTAGCCAGCACGACAACCGTGAACAGCTCAAGCACTGCCCCTACCAGCACTCGTGTCTCGCCTCCCGTCGACCCTGCGCGCACTCATACCATTCCGTCATCAGAAGGTATTTGCACAATCCTCCTCTGAATCGCTTGCTCCCTCTCGGCATAGTACCTACCTCTTACTCTTCCGCCTTTTAGTAGTGAAGCCAGCTGTTGTTGTGCCGACTAACACCAAGTCTGTTAGGAACACAAGTGTTTCGTCTCAGAAGCGTGTTACTTCCAACGCACCTGGGTTAGCGACTCATTTCTCCTTCCCCGATCAACATTTTTACATTTGAAATAGATTAACCATCTCCCGCATATTTTAGTGACGGTGGAAACTCCAGCTCGATGGAACACATTTCTGGTGACGATTTATGCGGTATGCTACCTTAAATTAAATCTACTCAAGTGATTGGTGAAACCACCAAACTACCTCTGTAGTCCACATCCGATAATTGTTTGGAATTGTAATCACTACAGTATTCGATGTTCCCAAAATTTTCTTTTTGACATACCGCCCGCGTTTTCTACTAAGTGTGCTTCAACTGCAATTCTAGGTGTTCTACTGCACTTAAACTAGCTGTTGTAAACGCAAAAATGTTTTCCATTATCGTTTTGATTCTCCAAATTTTTAAGAAGTGCTGGTGATGTTACCACCACTTGAAGTTAGCCATTGTTGGTTACCAAAATATTTGGAAGTCAATGTTTTAGATGCAAAACACCGACGCAACCTATCTGAAAGAAGTTATGGATCCTCTTCCTCAAAGGTGAGTACGTTTAGGCGTTGCTACTATCACAAGACCACAGTAAATCCTCTTTGCCTCAAGAACTAGTAGTTGTAGGTCACGGTTTTGGAAACATTTGCAATCGCCACGTATTGTTGATTTGAGGACTTATAACTTAAATCTACGGCACTAGCGCCTTCGTGTGTCAGACCCACAGCAGCAGCAACAGCAAATGAAAGAGGATTCACCGACTCCAATATCCTCAAAGGAGATGCGTCGTCTTCAGCGTAAGCGAGCAGCCGCTGCAGCTCTCCTCAGTAATCCGACAGGCAACGTCTCCGGGAGCGACGTCGACGGTCGCGGAAACAAGGACGTTGCCTATCTGGATCTCGATGACTTGCATACTGGCAGTGTCGCACCATCGTCGAAGAAGTCCAGAAAGGGTAAAGCACCCCTCCATGCCGCACCTCTCAAAGTTTCCACTCTTGAGACACTGGATTTTCGTCGAATAGGCGGGCCTCCTCGTCCTCCAGCATCGATTGAGAAGCAGCGAACTGAAGAAGAAGGGGTGGATCACAGGCATCGGCGCTCTCCTGCATCAGGCGGTCACCGGCGTCATCGGTCCACCCGGCGGGCGTCTGGAGGTACTTCACCTTCTACACCGCCCTCAGCCTCACTGCTGCGCCACTCACGAAAATAGTCCTATTGTCACTTGCACTTCCCTTCCCTCTATGTATATTACGCAACCTTTTTTTAAAAAGTCGTATTAGAACCTATTCGTTGCTTTACATTCTGAAGCACGAGAAAACTTCAGCACATCATTGAAGTTATAATATTTAACTGTTCCCCAACAAGTATTAGGGGGGTGGGGGAGGAGATGGTAAAGCCTGTCGCTAAGATTATTCAAAGGTCTGAACGCCTTACGTATTGCATAGATTATTATGAATGGGGAGGGGTGAAAATATCACCCTGAAAGTCAGATCATTTGGAAAAGACAAATGAACCATTACAGGGTATTGAGATAACAAAGTATTCAATTGTTATGATCCCTTTTCCAACACTCAATCCAGGTAACAATTGTCTCAATATTTCGAGCCAGATCATCGAGTGTATCGCTCCTAAGCTCATGTACAATTTCAACGTCGTACGAATCACGAGCTTCGTCGAGAACGACCTAGACGATAGGCTGTACGCTATTATGGAAAAATCAAAACAAGTAGCAGAAGGCGGATGGGTGACCTACCTGAACGATCTCACAATGAATCAAATCCTGAATTTTCTTCAGCTTGTATCCCCGAGATGCAAGTCTCGGATACAGAATTTGGTTGTCTGTGCGGAGCACAAAAACTGCATCAAACCATCTTTCCGGGAAAAAATCGCAGGAATGATAATCAAGAATCTAAAAATGTAAAATCAGGCGCAAACCAACCTGCCCTCCGTCTTCCATCTTTGGTTCAATTTCGTCAATTACGCGGTCTTCATCCAGAATATGACATTCGTTTACCTCATCATAACCATCATAAAGGCTACCTGCCTTAGCAACATCATTAACGGAGATGTAACTCAGGCCACTGACGTGAGCCAACTCAGTCGCAAGTGTAGTTTTCCCACATCCAGGTATTCCCGTTATGAGAATATTTGGTAGGGTCCTGTGCATTGGTACAGAGCAAGTTCTTTAAGCTGATCTTCTGTAAACTCAAGAAGAGAGAGCTTCCTTGTCAGATTCACAGTAATTGTATTTAAGATTTCGGTGTTATGGTAGGTCTTATTTATACTCTGATCCTCCTGTGCGCGCGTCAGATATATTTGCCTCTGAATGACCTGCGATGAATTGAAATTGTCTGTTAGATCAGACACAAGCGAACGAACACTGCCAACAACGTTTTTCAGATCGTATTGGAGCCGAGCTGACGTCTCCTCGGCGTGCTCAACGCGAAATTTCATCGATGTCGTTTTACGCAGAGCAAATCTCACGGCCGATTAAAACAATTCTAATGTGTCGAAAATTTTAAAACAATTTTTTCTCTTGGCAGTTATAAATCAGCCAATTTACTTAAGATTATAATGCGAAATGCTAAAAAAGTTATATTTAATAAATTAAAATCTATCGCATAATATTATGATGTATATGAAAACATCCGGTTTAGCATTACTGACGCATGGAATGAAATTCCTTTACGGTCAGACCTTCACTTTTCACCTGCATGTTATCCTGTTTTCCACGTAAAGAGCTAAGGATGTCTAGTGCTTTGCCAGAACATATACACTTAACAAAGAAGAAAAATCAGGCTGATGGAGCGGCAAGAGACGATCGCATTCAACATTTGCAGACGAACGTAGCATCATGCTCCAGGAAAAAAACTCTGTGCACAGTTATGCGCTCCACATGCTTATAGAAATCGCACTCCTATATAGAACATCGCATGACAACTTGCGCTGAGCATGTGATCTAGATTTTCGACCATTCCACTAGTTGCTATCGTAATATACGCTAGTGTGTTTAAGTTACCCTTATAGGGAGGAGACTGACATCTGTTCCGCCTCATCTGTCCTTACCCATCTCTATTCTTTCTGTACCTGACGCCTCTCATCTATAAAACCATCAGATAACTGGCAGTCACTTTTAAATTCGTCTGGTCCTTGTACGCATGGGCTGGTCTTCGGAACAAGTTTAGGCTTAATCCCTTTGGTCTCCCTGGAATTCATGTATCCAGTTCTACTTACTGCCTTCTTCTACCCGATTGAGAGTCTCGGGACGCTACATTGATGGCAGAGAAAGGCAAACTCGACTTTTTGACGACTTCCATCCCCTTATCTGCCGTTTGTGGCATGCCTATGGTGTGGACGACTGCACTCGGCTTCACCTTATTCTCGTGTTCAACAGGTAAGCTATCAACAACTAAAGTGGTACCGCCGTGATCCATCTGGAAAAGTTTCGTGTCGGAAATGCCACTACGATTCTCCTTACATACGGGACTGTATCTGCTCTTGTTTCCACAGTAACACATCCGTTTTAGAACGGAGTTCCACCGTTTAGTCCTGGAAGCAATTAGTGCTAGCTGTCAGACCGAACTCAACTCCATGTCCAGTTGAAGGCGCTGATGGTAGCTGTTGACTAACACGGCTGGGTAGTGGGTGTTTTCTTGCAGCACCGAATGTTGCGATGCCTATTGTGGGAGGTGTATAAGGAGGAGCGTCGAGGACGTCGCTCAAAAGAGGAGGGGCAGTGCGATACGCTGTCTATGTGACCACCTGATGTCTGGCGGTTGCTTTAAGATTTGCCAGATCCTTGTACACATGCTTTGGTCTTCGGGACATGCACAAGCTTAGTCCCTTTGCCTTCTCTTGAATGCTTTTATCCGGTCTCCGGACGCTACGCTTTGGGCAATGGTTTGTCTGAATTTTTCACAAAAAATGTTTGAGAATGATGCCTTCGTTTGGCTCTACTGCACCTCTATGCTCTACAGGCGCTTTTTCTTCAATCGTACCGACGCCAATGTTAATAATATGAGTTTTCCTAGCCAGGTTGCGTATAAATGTGAATTGACACTACACCGAATTCTTTTCCATAATAAACTGTGCTTGACCCAGTTTCCCCTGCTAAACATCCACTTTCGACCAATGTACTAGCGTTTAGTCCTAGGCACAATTGATGGTCAACAGAAATTCCTCTCTACGATTCTTGTCCTTAGACCGAGCGCAAACCCAGGAGGCCAAGCACAGTCCCCAGTCTCATGATGGCAGAGGTCGTAATAAGGCGAGCTTCGAGGACGTTGCTCAAAAGAAGAAAGAAGTGGTGCAATGCGTTGTTCATTTAATCACCTGATATTTGGCGATTACTTTGGTATTCGTCTTGCCCTTGTACTTGTGGGCTGAATTTCGGGTCAAGCCAAAGTTCAACCACTCATCTTTAAGTAAAATACTGAGTAGCTATGAATTTATAGCTCTTTTTATTATTTTGCGGAGCTATTCATCTACCCCGCCTATTTTTGATTGGCTTTCAGGAATGGAGAGTGGCGCATGCTTGAGCGACAATTAACGTACAAATTCTGATGTTGATTCTCCCCCAACCAAACCACCAAAAGGCATGGTAATCCAGCTTGATAAAAATATAATTGCCATGCCCGCACTCAGCTTTATCCCTTAAATCGGTCTGTCAAATTTTAATCGAGTCGATGTGCATGCCTCGGCACAAGCGATGGGATGAAACGACACTCAAATCCAAATCTGCACAAACCTTGAACCGATACGATTTTAGGCCCCTCTCAGGCGACTGGTTAGTCGCGCAGTGAGTCTGCATGAGTGGTATCCGCACCTTGTACCAAAACGCCCAGAAGCAATTTCGAATACACCTCAAACCACTTTGCCCTGTACATTCTCGCTTATTCAGAACTGGGTCATCTGAGAAATGCTAAATGTCCATTTTTAGGATGAGTTAAGTGCTTCTCCAAAGTCACGTATATAGCACCCCGATTGCCAACAATAGCAGACAAGGGAATCGCAAACATAGGACAACTAAAACCAGCTCGGAGTTTTGGGCGCCCCCCACACCGACCAGGAGTACTAATGACTAGATTTAGGTATTTTCATGCTACTTGTTAGAAACAAACATTTCAAAAGCAAAATGCGAATATTTTAGCAAAATGACCCTGGTATTGTTTAATAACGAGTGGTATCCAATGCCATTTCAAACAAGGCACAACCATCAACGAAAAGTAATGGCGATAGCAAGACAGATGGCAGTGACAACAAGGTATGCATTTCTTCAGTAATATTATTTAAGAAGAGAATAAAAAATGAACTCACCAAATCAGAAACATAGACTGAACAAATACGACAAAGCTTAACGATAAGTGTCACG